TGAAGATAATTAAAAAATTGTTGCAGAAGTATATCCACCAGAAATTCATGATGGATTCAAAAGAGGATGTGGAACAAGGGATATCATTGCTGATGTCAGACAGATCTTGGCTGAAAGCAGAGAATACCAGAAAAGTGTTTACTTTTGTTTTATTGCTGTGCAAAGGCACTTGACTATGTGAATCATAACAAATCATTGATAACATTATGAAGAATAGGAATTCCAGAACACTTAACTGTGCTTAGGAAAAGCCTGTACATAGACCAAGAGGCAGTTGCTCAACAGAACAAGGGGATACTGCATGGTTTAAAATCAGGAAAGGTGTGCATCAGGATTGTATGCTTTCACCACATTTATTCAATCTGCATGCTGAGCAAATAATCTGAGAAGCTGGACTATACAAAGAAGAACATGGTATCAGGATTGGAGGAAGACTCATTAGCAATATGTGATATGTAGATGACAAAACCTTGCTTGCTGAAAGTGAGCAGGACTTGAAGCACCTACTGATGAAGAATGAAGGCTACAGCCTTCAATATGAATTGCACCTCAACATAAAGACAACAAAAATCCTCACAGTGGGACCAAAAAGCAACATCATGCTAAGATTGAAGTTGTCAATGATTACACTTTACTTGGATCCAAAATCAACATCCACGGAAACAGGAGTCAAGAAATCAAATAATATATTGCACTGGGCAAATCTGCTGCAAAAGACTTCTTTAAAGTGTTAAACAGCAAACATGTCTCTTTAAGGAATAAGGTGCACCTGACCCAAGCCATGCTATTTTTAGTGGCCACATATACTTGTGAAAACTGGACTACAAACAAGGAAACAGAGGAAGAATTCATACATTTGAATTATAGTTCTGATGAAGAATAATGAATATACCATGGACTGCCAGAAGAAAGAACTAATCTGTCTTGAAGGATGTACAGCTGGAACGCTCCTTAGAAGGTAGGACGGTGAGACCTAGTCTCACTTACTTTGAACATGTTATCAGGAAGGACCAGTTCCTGGAGAAGAACATCTCCTTGGTAGAAGGTCAGTGAAAAAGAAGAAGACCCTCAATGAGGTGGATTGACATAGTAGCTGCAAAAATGGCCTCAAACGTGGCAACAATTGTGAAGATGGCACAAGACACTGTTTCGTTCTGTTGTACATAGGGTCACTATGAATCAGAACAGACGCAATGATACCTAACAACCACAACAACATATGGTATATAGCATTTGAAATAGTGTTAAAGCCAACAAGATAGAGATGAGGGCTTAAGAAACAGTTAAACATCATTTAAATAAATATTTGTTTCATCTATTAAAATTTCAAAACTTTAATTTTTGTCACATTAATAATCAAATCTTTACAATTATTCACAACTCTTAAAAAGCAGAAAACACACTCCTTGAGAGAAACAGAAAAAATTATTATGGATCCTTTACTATATTCATGATTTGGTCAAACGTTACAGGGTTGATGAGAGGACTGTCTACTCTATCCCTAGGAAATATATATGAATGATCACTAACATTCTGAGGCAATGTTAGCCTACAGTTCATCTATGAAACAGTGTTTAGTACTTGATCCTCAGGTGAAAGTTTCTGAAAAAAAGGATATTAAAGATAACTTCTAAGTACCATTTCTTAGTTCAAAAGATTATATACCTTTAGTGGAAAGTTCTGAGAATTAACTTTCATTTCTGGTTTCACACACAAGAAAAAAAAGAAAAACTATGCCATGACGATAATGGAAATTTTTTTTTCAAGTTTTGCTACATGAAGTTGTGAAAAATGAGAGAAAAAAAATATGTTGTTTATGAAGTTACATCCATCTCATCTTCAAATGTAAGCCATATGAAGAAAACTATTATTTTTAAAGCAACACTATTTAAAATGTAGACAGTAAAACTATAATAATGGAATCAGAAAGGAAAGAAGAGTTTTTCAATTAAGTTAAATTTTAGGAGAGTGTAATATTAAAGAACAAAATCCAACAACCTATATTACCAGAGAGTGAACTTTTCAGCATTTATTGAAATTTCTTTTATGATACCATGGAGATTAGGAGGGGGACAAGGTATTTGGTAAATCAGACTTAAAAAGATATTTAAGAATGCTTTCAGGCCCACACACTTTCTTAATCTGTTCTGACCATTTGTTCACACTTATATTACCTGATGACATCTCCTTTTCTTTCTATGTAATTGTACACTGCTCTCATTGGTATTAAACAAACACTACCTTCCACCCCTAGTTAACATATGGTTACCCCTATATAAAATAGTTTATAGGATCCCTGAAAAAAGGGGTCAGAGAAAAATGAAGTGGACTTCCATTCATAGGACCACTGCTGTATTTACTTTAAACCTGGTTTATTTTCTTTTAAGCCCTCCAAATGGGCCAGTTTCCATAACTGGTTTATTTATCAAACATTACTAAATGGTATTTTTAAAAAAAACGAATTAAGGATTCAATCTTATTTTAAAACAAAATATGAAAAGACAAAACATATTATTAAACTGTAATATCTAAACTCACAGAAGCTGACTCACCTGCGGCTCACTGATTTCTTCCCCAGTTCTCCCTCGCCAGCTGATTTAACATTTGCACTTGTGTCCTTTTTTAACTTTTTTGCAATTCTTTCTCGCATCAGGTTCTTCTCATCACCATCAATATCTGCATCATGCTCTACACTTTCATCTTCTCCATCCTGTTGACATTAAAACTGGTTATTTACCAGGCATTTAATTTCCCCTTTTCCTTCCAGAGGTCCATGTTAGACTCTCCTCATTACATTCTGGGGCAGGTAGGTTTTTTGTTTTGTTTTGTATTAGTAAAGGCTTCAAGAACCTGCTCCAGATGAGTCTGCTTTAGGCCAACTATGTAAGTATGGGGTATCCCAGAAAGGGCTACCTACTAAGTTCATGCCCACTTCCTCTGTGCAGCACAGTGTGCTCCCTGACAGCACCTGGGATATTGCATCTATCTACATTTCTGTTCTTATCCCACTGGGTTCCTGGAGGCAGTTAGCTAGTATACAGACCTCAAATGGGAATTAATTCAAGTAGAAGTGTAGTTGGAGAAGCTAAAATTCCCTCCTATAATCTTAGTCATAGCAAGCACTTCTCAGCACCCTCCAATAGCTCCCCAACTCACTCAAGGCCGTATGCAATCTGTACTTCTCAAACATAATCTCCCATAACTCCTGTCCAGCCACAGTGGCCAACTTTCTATTCTCAAACAAGCCAGGAATGCCTCTCCCTCATTACCTTTAGACTTGCTGTTCTCTCTAGTCTGAATTGCTCTTATTCCAGGTATCTGCATTTCTTGCTTCATCTCCTTCAGGTATTTACTTAAATGTTACTGTCTCAGAGATGCACTGTCTGATCACCCTATTAAAATGGCAGAACCACCCACCTCCAAAGCTCCAAAGCTCTCTATCTCCCTTCTCTGGTATCTTTCCCAAAGCATTTATCAATCCAGATTCATGTGTTTTATTTATGTGTTTATTGTCTCCCTCTCTCTCTTATCATTTGAGTAAAGCACATCATGAGGGCTAAAATTCTGGCTTGTTTTGTTTACTGCTGTATCTTCTACTTTCAAAGTAATTCCCAGCATTAACTGATGAGTGAATGGAGAGAAAGAAGTAGTAGTAGTAGTAAGACAGAGAGAAGCCCAAGTGGGTCATTTTTTCTCTTGTGATTCTTCGCTCAGGTAAATGATGCTGAGGCAGGATTCTTAACTTGAGGCTGATAGTCCCCTAGGACAGAGGTTCTCAAAGTCTGGGCCTCAAAGTATATGAGCTATTCATTAAAAGTATAATATCCCAGCCCTTATCCCGGACTTATTGAATGATGTTCTCAAGGCAGAGACTGTGATTGTTTTCACAGACTTGTTCAAAGGAGCTCTGGTAACATAGTGCCTAAGGCACTTGACTACTAACCCACCAGCCACTCCTCAGGAGGAAGATGGGGCAATCTACTTCCGTAGGGACACTGCCTCGGAAACCCAAGGAGGGGTCGCTATGAGTCGGGTCTGACTTGACGGCAAAAAACAACAACAACAACAAAATTTAATAACCACTGACCTAGCTAGAAGGAGCTCTGGTGGTATAACGGTTAAGGCTGCTCCACGAAAGAAAGATGAGAAGGATCTGCTTCTGTAAAGATACACAGACTTGGAAACCCAATGGAAGTTGCTACGAGCTGGAATTGACTCGATAGCAGTGAGTCTGAGACCCAGCGAGGTCTTCTGTGTTTGGGCCTCAGGAGATCTAAAAATATGCCCTGCAAATCCATAACATTTTGGGTGTGGATGTGGTACATTTTTCTGGGAAGAAGATCTAGTTTTAGTCATTTCATAGGATCTAGGACACAAAACAGGATAGTGATTCTACATTCACATTAGATAGCCTCTCACTCACCCATGGCCTAAGAACAAATCAGCCCTTGTTATCTTCCAGACCCATATTATTGTTACACAGATTTCTCCAAGTTATCCTAACCTCAAGATATACAAAACTACATTAATTATTTTTCTTATTTCCCCACCTCAACCCTAGTATTTCTTTTGTACCCATCTAACAAGTGGCCCAAGCCAAAGCCTTATAGTTGTCCACAACTCCATCTTCTCCCTCACCTAATAGCATGGAATCAGTCACCTCCCAGACTTCTTTCAACTCTATCACTTTCCCATCTCACAGCTATGGTCTTACATGAAGCTCTCCTCCTATAATAGCTTCTTAATACGTCTCAATACTTCCAGTCTGTTTCTCCTAATTTGACCTCTATAATAGATTACATCTCAACATAAAGAAAATGAAAATCCTCACAACTGGGCCAATAAGAAGCATCATGAAAAACAGAGAAAAGATTGAAGATGTCAAAGATTTCGTATTACTTGCTTCCACAATCAACACCAACGGAAGCAGCGGTCAAGAAATCTGACGACGTACTGCACTGGGCAAATCTGCTGCAAAAGACCTCTTTAAAGTGCTAAAGAGCAAAGATGTCTCTCTGAAGGCTAGGGTGCACCTAACCCAAGCCATGGTATTTTCAATTGTATGGTGTTTTCATATGCATGTGAAAGGTGGACAATGAATAAGGAAGACCGAAGAAGAGTTGATACTTTTGAACTGTGGTCTTGGCAAAGAATACTGAAAGTACCATGGACTGCCAAAAGAACTAACAAATCTGTCCTGGAAGAAGTGTAGCTGGAAAGCTCCTTCAAAGTGAGAATGGCTAGATTTCATCTCACCTACTCTGGCCATGCTGTCAGAAGGGACCATTCCCTGGAGAATGATATCATGCTTGGTAAAGTTGAGGGTCAATGAAAAAGGGGAAGGCCCTCAAGGAGATGGACTGACACAGTGGCTGCAATGACGGGTTCAAGTATAGCAAGGATTGTGAGGCTGGCACAGGACCAGGCAGTGTTTTATTCTGTTGTATGTAGGGTGACTATGAGTCAGAGCCAACTTGATGGCACCTAACAACAACAATAATGCCATGGTAATCTTCCTAAAATGCAAAGTTCATCACAACACCTTTCTTTTTAACTATTCTTTATCTATTCCTCACTTTAGGATAAAATTCAAACTCCTCACCATGTCCTATGAAGATCTGTAATATTTAGGTCCTTCCTACCTCTCTAACCTTATCCCACTCTCCTTCCTACTACTACACTCCAGTCACACTGGCCAGCTTTCAAGTTTCTGGAACACAACTGCCTCCTACTTCTAAGCCTTTTGCACATGTAGTTTACTCTACTTTCAACAGTCTTCCTGCTCTTAAAAATTCAGGCTGCTTTTCAAACTTGAAATCTCAGCTTATTTACTAAATAAAGTACTAGCTCTCTTTGCTTTCATGTTTTAGCATATGCTGTTCTCTGAGCTACAGGGATCCCACCTCTCACTACTTTCTTTTCTGACGAAGTCAACTCCTAATTTTCCTGTAAGACACAACACAACATGTTCTCTTCCAGTAAGGCTTCTTGAACAGGTTAGAAATTCATCCTCCCTCTACTATATACAGTATAGTCAGAACTCTCTCTTTGGACTATGCTAATAGGTAATGCTATATTCATGTATGGAAAGTTATATACTTTCTAATAAATTATATAATATACAGATCAATGAGCTTTTATACAAAGTGGCATTTGACTAACTTGAGAAACTTAAACTCTTACACATTATAGGAAACTCTGCCTTCTGGTTAATTAACTTTATTACCCAGTACAACTAACAAAGAGAGATCATTATAGTCTTGAATAAGAATCTTCTGAAATGTATATATCTACAGAAAAAAAAATTGCCATTGAGTCGATTCTGATTCATAGCAACCCCAATGGGTTTCCAAGGCAGTAAATCTTTACAGAAGCAGATGACCCTATCTTCCTTCCGTGGAGCAGCTAGTGAGTTTGAACTGCCAACTTTCTGGTTAGCAGTCAAATGCCCTAAGCACTGTGCCACCAGAGCTCCCTGTATATCTATAAGTAATACTAAAAATCACTGTTCCAAGCATTTCACATTTATCAATTATGATACTCACCCATCAACATTTAAACTCTAACATACCAAAAACCAAATTCACTGTCGTGGATTCAGATCCAACTCATAGTGACCCCTCCTAGGGTTTCTGAGGCAATATCACTACAGAAGTAGATGCCCAACCTTCCTTCCGAGGAGTGGCTGGTGGGTTTGAACCACCAGCCTTCTGGTTAGCATTCAAACACCTTAGGCACTACACCATCAGAGCTCCCAACTTTTAACATAATAAAAGAAAATTAATAGCATTTGAATTTTGAGTATTCAAGTAATGTTACGTGAGGGAGAAAAGACCAGGCTAGAAATACGTATATATGATTCCAGTTTTTTAGAGAAATATCCACATACACAAGTACACTT